TTGCTACCTAATTCCCTGAAATCATTCTTTAGGACCTTCCATCTTCCTCTTACTGTTTTAGCAATACTTACCAACTAATATGGACTGAATATCTCGGTCTTCGTTTGTTATTTATTATTTTATTTATTGACCACGTTTTGTATTGAAACTATTTTATCAAATACTTATTAAAAGTTAAGTTTTATATTTTCTCTACTTGTGACAACTGATACTATTAATTTAGGAAGACACCTACTGGTAGTTCTTTTCGTTTTCATTTTTTCTATTCTATGATACAAGGCTGAAAAACGATAATTTGTTACAATTCACTCTCCATACAAACATCTTTCTCTCTATTTATTTATGAATGAAAATTTAATTTAATATATTCCCGCACTATAGTTTTTCTTAAAGCATGGGTCTCATGGGACACATGGAGATTGGATTATGCTACACATTGAGAGTGAAGGGAATACAATTACAGGATTGTTATTTGATTTGGAGACTAAAGTTCCTTCTGGATATACATCCGCATATATATATATAAAACTATTACAAGCTGTGAGACTTGAAATGGCTGTTTAGTGAATAAGCGCGTGCCCTGGATTTGGTATGTTTTATATATAATAATATATAAAACATACAAAATCCACCATTTTTTTTTTTTTTTAATTCTTTATTTTTCGCTCTGCCATTCAAGCGTGGCTACAATAGTGCAAACAGATGTGAATACATGACCGCACAAGTGTTGTTGATTTGTAGTATAAAATACAGGGTAACAAAGTTAGTACAAGCATCTGTCACAAACTGTGCACCTTTGGTGCGTCTCTGCCAGAGTTTTCATTTACGTTGGTAATCAGATAAAGAGAGAGAAAAAGAAAAGCATCCGAAAGAAAGGGAAGAAATAACTATGTACAACTGTAGACTTATTGAGGAGTGTGCTGTGCCCTAAACTCTCAGGATGGCTGCGATGAGTGTATTGCGTTGCCTTGGCCTAAGCGTATGTGTGTGGTATCCCGAGCTTGCCCAGGTAGTTCAGGCATTGTGCCCTCTCCGTCTGCCCTGTCCCTGCCCCCCACCGTGATCTGTCAATCCGTCATGTACGTAATCCGGCAGGGTTAGTGGGCGCGGCCCTCGTTCCGGCTTTAGCCAGTCCCCCGTCCTGCTGTGGAGCCGCTTCCACCCATCCGGGTTATGGTATGCCAGCGACTGCCGGGTGAGCCCCTACCGTCACTGCTGAATTGTGCCGCACAGATGCCGCCCCGCGCCCCTTGTGAAATGTGGTCAGCGTGTTCCGCACTTGGGCCGTGAGTTTATCCATCAGATAATTATCGCGGAGTTTCGTCCTAACCAATGATAGCTGCGGGAGGTCCGGGCAGGACCAGTGTTGTGCCACGGCCCTGCGGGCCGCTAAGTAGATCATGTTAAGGAGTTTTTGTTCGTGCCTCGGGAGGCCCTCCGTGGGTCTGGATAAAAGGCATGCCCACGGATCTAGTGTCATTCGTTTTTGTAAGATTTGGGAGCTGAAGTTTACTATGCTGCGCCAATAGGCCGCCACCTTTGGACATTCCCACCACATGTGGATGTAGGTGCCCCTCCCCCATATAGGTGCCAGCAATCATCTGTAGGACGCAATTTCATGTGTTTTTGCTTCACAGGAGTCATGTACCAACGGAATAGCGTTTTGTATGATTGTTCTTGGAGTGTTACGCAGATAGTGGTTTTGGTGCATGCCTCCCAGATGTCCTGCCACTCCGTTCCCTCTAGGGCCTCCCCCAGGTTGGCTTCCCACTGGTCAGCGTATCGGAGTGCGTCTGTCGTGTCTGGGGCCGTGTTGAGGTGGTTGTATAGTAATGTAATTAGTTTGGATTGTGTAGTCTCCGTAAAGCATAGTTTCTCAAAAAAGGTTAGAGGTGTCAGGGCTGCCTTTTTTACGTCAGGGCTCTGTGCAAAGTCTCGGATTTGCAGGTACCTGAAATAGTCTCTAGTGTGCAGTGGAGTTTTGGTGGTCAGGTGTGCGTATGTGACTATTTCCTGGTTTATGAATAGGTGGACGTATCTCTGGAGCCCAGTGGCTTCTATCCCTTTGTAGTCCCGGGCCCTCATTCCCAGTGGGAATGCCCTATTCCGGAAGACCGGTGTCATGGGAGACAGAGGGGGGCTCAAGGAGTATTTCAGTTTAGTTTGGTCCCATATCCGTATGGAGTTCAGTAAAGCTGGATTCGTGGTTCTCAGTATGGCCCTTTGTGTTTTTGGTGCCCATATAAAAAATTGTGGGAGGTCCTGTCTCGTCATTAGTGACTCCATGTCGACCCAGCGTCGTGTATCAGGGGGTGTGTGCCATTGTATGATCTGGGCTAACTGTGCCGCTAGATAATAATTATATACATTAGGTAGTCCCAGTCCCCCCCTGGCTTTCGGTCTGTACATGAGTGTGCGAGCCATTCTCGGGTGCTTGTTGTGCCAGATGAAGGAGTCTATTGCCCGCTGTATACCCGTCAGGTCCCCCCGGGTCACCTGTACCGGGAGTGCCTGAAAAAGGAACAGGAGCCTCGGCAACACATTCATTTTTATTGTGTTGACCCGTCCCAGCCATGATATGGGCCTGTGTGTCCACTGCTCCATTTCCGTGATAAGGGTCCGAAGCAGTGGTGTGTAATTGCAGGCATAGAGTGACGATGTGGTTGCCATTAGGCGGACCCCTAGGTACAGGAGTTCCTCTGTGGCTATCTTTAAGTGGTATTGTTTGCGTATATGTTCTACGTCTTGGTGCGGTATATGGAAGGGCATTGCCACCGATTTGGAGTAATTAATTTTGTAGCCTGCGATGTTCCCAAATTTTGCTAAGAGTTGTGTCAGGTGGTGTAGGGAGTCCAGCGGATCCCGGAATGTTAGCATAACATCATCAGCATATGCCGAGACTGTGAAGGGTGTGCCGCTCACCTCTATGCCCTGAATGTCTGGATGTTGCCTGATAGCTTGTAATAGTGGCTCTAGGGTTAGGGCGAAGAGCAAAGGGGACAACGGGCATCCCTGCCTAGTGCCGTTGCTAAGGGTGAAAGGCTGTTTACGCGCCCCTGTGATAAGTGTTTGTGCCCTCAGGTCTGTATAGCCGTCACAAAGGGCTCTGGGAACCCCTGGAACCGGAGCAGCTCGAAGAGGTAAGGCCATAGCACCCTGTCAAACGCCTTCTCCGCGTCTAAAGAGAGCGCTAGAGAAGGCGTCTTGGACTCCGCCATGTACCACATGGCATCCACCCCCCGTCTGGTGTTCTCGTACAGTTGGCGTCCGGGCATAAGGCCCACCTGGTCCGGGTGGATCAAGCGTGGGAGTAGGGAGGAGAGCCTGGATGCCAGTATTTTAGCAAAGACTTTGAGGTCCGTATTGATAAGTGAGATTGGCCTATAGCTGGAGGCTAGTGTGTCATCCTTATCTGGTTTTGGCAGTAGTACTACATTCGCCGTTGCCATGTCTCCGTCAGGTACCCGCCTTGCATAAAGTGGTTACTAAGGGCCGTGAGGGGAGGGGCTAGAAACTCTTTGAATTGTTTGTAGTAGTTAACATTGTATCCGTCTGGGCCTGGGGCCTTGTTTCCCTTGAGGGATGCTATGGCTGATTCTACCTCTGTTTGGGTAATCGGTTCACTTAGGGAACCTGCTTCTGCCTCACTCACTTTGGGCAGTGTGAGGTCTGCAAGGAATCGTTGTATGTCGGCCCTATAGGTGGTGTTATTGGCGTGAAGGTGGGGGGAGTGATTGTAGAGGTTGGAGAAATAGGAGGTGAATACTTCGTTAATGGCCTCAGGGGTCTCAACTAGCATGCCGGTGACCGTGTGTATTTTCGTGATGGCCTTGCCCTGTGGTCTCGGGCGGAGCACCCTGGCTAGCAGTGTGTCTGTTTTATTTGCTTTCTCGTAGTAGAGTCGTTTTGACCATTGTATGGAGCGTGTCACCGCTTCCAGAGAGATGTCCCTAATAGAGTGTCTGAGGGTGTTCAGTTCCCTAAGTTTGGAGTTTGTCGGGTTAGTTTTGTGTTGCTGCTCTGCCTTCCGTAGGGCTGACTGTAATTCGAGGAGCTTTTTAATTTTAGCTCGCTTTATATGCGTTGCAAGTTTTATAAAGTTCCCGCGTATGACCGCTTTGTGTGCTGCCCAGACCATGGTGGGGTTGGTGTCAGGTGTTGCGTTTAGTGTAAAGTATTCTGTGATAGCCTGACGGGTGGTCTCAAGGGTTTCGGCATCTCTAAGAAGACTAGTATTAAGCTTCCACGACCAGTTGGACTGGTAGCGTAGGTTGCCTAAGGTCAGCGTTACGTCAGCGTGGTCTGACCACGTTATGTTACTGATGTCTGTGTGTATGGCCTTATCCATTCCCACCCCGTTCAGAATTTTTTTATCTATTCTGGAGTAGGTGTTGTGCGGCGCGGAATAAAACGTGTAGTCGGATGTGGTCGGGTGCTGTAGTCGCCATACATCCAATAGACCCGTGTGTATCAAAAATGTGTGTAACAGTTTGTCTTGACCCCCTTTACCCTGAGACCTCACGGTGCCAGGTTTTGAGCTTCTATCCGCTGCTGGGCTTGGTACAGCGTTAAAGTCGCCCCCCACCAGCAGAACCCCCCCCTGGCCCCGGTCACCAGCACCTCCAGGCTCTCCCAGAACTGCCTATCCGGCTCGTTGGGTGCGTAAACATTGATAATATGTATTTTTGTGGTGTAGAGGGTGCCTCCTATATATAAAAATCTCCCCTCCGGGTCAGTCTGGGTAGTAGTTATTTGTAGCAGGCAGTTTTTATGGACGAGGATCGCCACCCCCGTTCGCTTACGGAGGGAGCGAGCCTCATGCACTGTCGGGTAGGTCCTGTCAGTCAGTTTAGTGCGCACCGACCTGGGGAGGTGTGTCTCCTGTATCAGTGCGATATCTATTTTTTTGGCTTTTAAGTCTCTCGCTAGTAGTCTCCGTTTGGTTGGGGAGTTGAGGCCCTTGACATTAAACGAAAGTACCTTAAGAGCCATGTGGGGAAGTTGGCTGTGTTGCTGGTAGTACAGGCGCTCTAGGTGTCCGGGGTCTGTAGTGCGTGCTGTGTGAGGGGCCCGGCCCGATGGCCACACCCGTCGACGCTGGCGGCATCCATACGGCACAATGGAATTGGAGATCAGTACTTGTCATTGGAAAGAGTGAGAAAAAAGAAACATAAGTAACAAAGAACCATTTCAAGGTACATACAAATAAACATGAAAAGTAAACGTAAAGTGATAATCTGGTCTTAACCTGTGCCAGATTGAATTGGGGGTGGTCGCCCCTCCCGAGTGATGTAAGAAAAAGCACCTCTCGGGGTTGGTGATCTCCCAGCGCCCTTCCACTATGATGCTGTAAACAACCAGCGGCCACAGAACCTCTACCTGCTGGTTTGTCCCCCTTAAAGCGAGGCGTGCTTGCCATTGTCCCCCCTTGGGTTGCATGGTGTGTGCGCCTTTCTCTCTTGCTGTGTGCTATTTTTGTCCTCCCTTCCTTCGTTTATGTGGGAATCCTCCTGTGTGTAATGACTGTGTGCCAATCCTCCCCTACCCGCCCCCTCCATCCCCCCCTATCTGGCAAGTGCGCTAGATCATGTGCGTGCCCTTCGAGGGGCGCATTCTCTGTGGTGTGCTTTTTTTTTTTCCTCCCCCCCCCCTTTCTCTGGAATGTGGTAGTTTGTGTGTCATATCCCCCACGAGTTGGTCTACGGTGTATAGGTTTCAACTGCGTAACCCAGGTACCAGTGGCAGTACCCAGAGTAGTGTGTGTGTTCCCCCAACTAATGTTTCGCCAGGTGTAGTGCCCTAAGGTCAACTTAGCTGTCCTATGCGGCTATCGTGCCACCAGAGTCACTGTAAGTGCCCCTCGTGGGCCAATCAGGTCTGCGTGGTGCCTGCGTCCTCCTGGGCTGCCGTTGCTGCGACTGTATACCAGTCCCTTGGGAGAGGTGTTAGAGTCCGCCGAGCGGGTCCTGGTAAGGCGAAGGTTCTCGGGGGTGTGATGTCCAGGTCACATAGAAATTTTTGTGGGTCCCCTCCGGGTGAGTATGTGAGTGTTCTTCCCGCTTTGAAAGCTACAATTTTAAACGGGTGCCCCCATGTGAACCGGATTTCGTGTTGTCGCAGAAGATCCGTCAGCGGTCTCCATTCCCGTCGCCTTTGGAGCGTGCTTGGTGCGAGATCTTGATAGAGAGAGATGGGCTTGCCTTTGTATGTTAAGTCGTGGTTTCTGTTGTACCACAGAATAGCTTCCTTAGTGGTATAGTGGTGAAAGCAAACGATTATATCTCTCGGGGTGTCAATGTCCCCCCGCCGGGCGCGCAGGGCCCTGTGTGCCCGGTCCATGGCCCACTGGGCTTTAGGGATATCTGGGAGTAGGCCGCTAAAGTATGCCTCCACTAGCGCTGCCAGAGGGCCTTCATTGGGCGTTTCAGGCCACCCCCTGATGCGGAGGTTGTTCCGCCTGGTGCGGTTGGACAGGTCTTCAACCTGCATTTCCAGGTCTATAATGTGGAGTGGAGTGCTGTATCACATCATTATGGCCCTGTACCAGTACCTCCATTCTCTGCTCCAGTTCTGAGGTGCGGGCGCCCAGGGCCTGGATTTCAGCTTTAATATCATGCGTGCTGCGGGTGATTTCACTTGCCAGATATGTTTTGACTTCTGCAAGCCTTTGCAGGATTTGTGCTGTGCTGCCTCCGTCTGACTCCGGTTGCTCCCGGTCCGTTGGGGATTGGGAGCCTCGCGCGCCCGTCCGGCGGCCATCTTGTGAGGCCTGTGAGGCAAGTGCGGCCTGTGTAGGTCGCGAGGTCGCAAACATGTCGGCCACTGAGGGGGGGAAATCCAGCGATTCCCCGTGTTTCTTCCGGCGTGGAGTGGCTCCGGTGCTCGGGTGGGACATAGGGAAGGTAGGTACAGGCTGCGATGCTGGTTGCTGGTGCAAGATTGTGTGTGGATGCGCGGGAGCTCGCTTGTTAGGCTGCCATTCTAGTCGGCTGCCAGGCCACGCCCAAAATCCACCAGTTTTAATTCGCTTATTTGAATTCACCTGTAAATGTGCTGGAATTAAATTTGTTGGAAAATTTCACATTTTGCCCCGAATGTAATGCGCCATCGAATCTAATGCACATTCAGATTTTGGAAACGTTATTTTCCAAAAAAAAGGTACGCATTAGATTAGTAATTGCATGATTATTATATGACAACATGTTCTATAGAGAAAGCAGTATCTATTGATCCCATCTTCCATCTTAGGTAATTGGGTTATGTTTTTGCTCAATATATCTTATGTTCCATCCATTTCTAAAGTGGACTCCTAACCAATTCACAGGTGAGAATTTAATGGCTACTGGATACCCAGCATATATGGATACTTATACAGGATCGACATTTAGCACTAGAGCTACTGTAGTTCTGATACTATTAAAAAACAAATCACAGTATTGACTTTCTCTTCTCCTCACTTTCACTATCTAGAATGTATGATCTTATATTACATGCATTAGTGTAATGTATATATGTGTTAGATGAATAGAAATGCAAAATACTCATTATGTAAGCTGCACACAGCAAATAAAAACAGTTCAGATCTTACAAGGCTACTTAACATCACTCAACTTAAGCAAATAAATACAGGGATTTAGTAACACCATATGGTCATACCATGTTTGAGCCCACTACCAGTTTTAAAGTACTCCAATATCTTTAAATGGGAAATAAAAATGCTAACTGAAAAACGTCCTACAAAAATGTAAAATCCTCTGTCAAGCACTAAAAACCCAATAACACTTGTATATAGACACAAGAAATAAGAAAAAAATATAATTTTTTTTTGGCTTTTGGGTTTTTATTTTTTTAACGAATTTCTGGAGTCACTGCTCAAAATACAAAATGGATATGGCACTCAAGACTAGGTGCCTCTTCGTACGATAGAGTCATGCAACAAATACAGCATATAAACAGAATAACTAACACACAAGACTTCTGGCAATGTTGCCCCAATAAACTAGGGATTGCCAAAAGTCTAATTTTGCCTTACTATTTGTATACCATCCTAACCAGCATCAAACTTTGACACTATTTCTAAACCTAGCAATTTCTAATCCTAGCTAATCCTTGTTAATCCTAATAGCATTTTACCCTATTTAACCCTATCATATTCTAACTTTATTAACCCTAACCATAGTTAACTCTAACCATAACCATTTCTGACCCTAACCCTGGCTTAGCACATCTAACCTTAAACCACCTGCCGAACTACCGACGTGCAGCCAGTGCACTGCACCAGGGCTCACACGATGAAGGGTATTGCTAAACAACAGCCCAGTTGGGTGCTGCGGCCCTTTAAAAGCGCGACCTTGCCACTATAGTATCAGCAGCCAAGAAGGAAGTGACATCAGATCATTTCTTCCCAGCTATAAGGGGAGAGCTCGGGCTGGGCTTATTCTTGTAAGTCTCAATCCATTGTATATATGTTTTACTTATTTATACTAAAATTCTACACTAGATATGCTCTCTTATTTCTCATTTTGTTGTTAAAGTAACAGTGTATCGATTTTGATGCACTGACACTTTACCTAATTAAAGTGTCATCAATTTGCAACAATTATGTGTGCCAACGACCAGTTTGGTTGAAACATTTATTAAGCCAACGACTATTATGGTTGAAAGAATTACATCTTTAATGGTGGAATAAAGAGTGACTTTGGGGTGGGGGGGAGAGGGAGGCACGCTGCTCAGTTGCATATTCTGAGAGCTCCACTGGGAAACTCTAAATAATCTGTTTATTTCACGACTTATTGTCCAAAATTGCAGATTCCCAGCAATTTACATACCCTGGAGACTAAGAGGATGCCACAGTGATCGACATCACTGAATACCAGATCGAGATTGGCGGCTCCTGCTGAGGAAAAACCTGCGGCATACAAGAGGCCTACTCACAGTTGGTGGTAAGGAGGTGGCCTTTTTATTTATTTTACTCTCACCAGGTCTCCCTTCAGCTCTCCCCCCCCTACCGGTGAGAGATATCCCGGTATTCACTAGCTGTGTGTCGGTGACTACATTCCAGCAATCATCCCGCGAGCTGCAACCAGCTTGCCTCATACACTTTGGCAGATGCCACGTGCAAACTTGAGTCTCGGGTTCTGACACACTCCATCCTGGATAACTTAGATGAACTGTACACTGAGTTCTGGTCTCTCACTCGGCAAACTGCTTCTCACATCAAGGGTGTTTATTCCCACAAAAGGAACCATTTCTGCTTGTATCCAAAAGGCGAGAACAGCAGACACTGTGATATCATCGACAGAGGAGTACTAGAAGCCGGAGGTCTACCTATTTCCACCGTGGAGTGCAGGGGCCTTCACAGGGCTTGCCTAAGACGCCACTACAACTTCTTCCTGCTCAAGTACCAGTCTAATTGGCATGTCACCATTACACTGGACTGTGCTTTTCACCCGGAGAGCATAGGCTAACAGGGAGATGCTTACCTGGCTTGTTTATCTGGTACCCGCTCACTGCGCCTTTACTCCAATGCTATACTGTCATCGTTATCATCCATGCAGTCTTTATTACTAGCATGCATTCCATATTCTTTTAATTCACTCTACTTCAAAATTTCTACCATGCTCTTGTTTTCTACCGTGCTCTTTTTTCTTTGTTAATCTGATATATAAGCAACCTCTATAACTGTTAGCTTAAAACTTGTGCAGTTCCTCAGACATTTACTGTGACCTCTTGCTAACAAATGTCTTCATTCTGTGTTACTTGCACTATACTACAAAAAAAAGAATGAATGAACTCAGAACATCATCTGCTGAGTTACTATTCTGATACATTTTTTGGTTATCTGGGCCAATGATTATCCTTTGGCTCAACACCCATATTAGCATCTTGTGGAGGGCTAGAGTGTGCAAATTTAAACTGCCTTCCATAAGATTTAACAAAGTATAAATAGCATGTTTAAACGGCAGACATATATTTAATTAGGTTTGAATAGCAACTTTGAGATTTCCATATTTCGAATTTACAGTATATATAGTGTTAGTGTGCAACACGTTTTAAACGTTTTTTTTAAGGACAAAGGCCTGCAATTGTGGGAAAAGTTTGTCCTATAAAAATCCCATCCCCCCTCTTACCTGGGCAATTTCTATTCAGGTTGTGACGAAATGCCTTTTGCCCCTGGATTGTTAGGTGACAAGCTGCCCTTTGCCCCCGGCTTTTGGAG